AAAAAAAAAAAATTTAAAACAGGCCACAATTTGGTTGGAAGTGCTTTATGCGCGAGCAACTCTTTTTGAAATTGGCTCATTTTCACTTTCGAGCACGTTCGGGTAAATCGACGATTCATCATGTCCCGTTATCATAGACGTATTTCGAAGCATCGCTATAGTACTTTTTTTCAGCACTTTTCTTAACCAATCGGCAGGAGCCAATTTTTAAGCAATTGACAAATTTGTACAGTCAAAAATGAAATATTCGATGTATGCTAGCCCCACTTCTTCCTATAGTTGGCTCAGTCTCACGAGAAGCCACATGACGATCTTGCAATGCAAATTTGCGCACACCATCAATAGCAATTCCAGAACAACAACTGATTTTGGACAATCTGCGGGAAATGCGATATTTTAAATTAACGCAGGGAACACAAATAACGATCTTATGTCAAGATTTTCTGCGTATATTTAACAACAAAAACGTCAAATTTTACGATAAAGTTGATTGGTTGTCACATTTCAACACTCGTATTATGCTTCTGGCTCGAGTTCGTGATGTAGTACGCTGAGATAAACAATATTAAAGGACCTTTATTTAGTTCTTATTACGAATAACAATGGGTTTTTATGAAAATAGTATCGACTTTGATTCGTTGTAGCTGTCTTCAGTCTTAAAGATGACTTTGTTCGTGTTTTTTAAAGAAATTAATTTCTTTGAGAACATTTCATGCTCAAACATGCTTGCAAAATGGCACGAGGCAGAGAAAGTTCTCTTAAACTTCGATGTTGATTTCCTGTCATCATTACTTTGGCGACTTTAGCTTCAGTTAAAGAAGTTTAAGAATTCATTTATTAAGGTTAAACTATTTATTTTTTATTTATTTGGTTTTCAGTAATTTCAGAATATTTTATTTAATTTTTATTTTATTTTATTTTTTTTATTTTTAAATTATTATTTTTATAAAATTTTTTTAATTTTTTTTTAATTATTTTTATTTATTATTTTTGTCTATTAGATAATAAAATGAAAAATGATTAAATATTTACTCCATGTGTAGAAACCGATTGAAATCTGAAGAATTTTTGAGTCCAAAACTCAAAAGTCCAACAATTTTCGACAGTTTTTTTAATTTTATTTAAAAAAAAACATACAAATTTATTGCCTGCGAAAAAGAACTTTTCCAAAGAGTCAGAAGAAAATTTATATTCAAAAATGTAAAAATATATATATGAAAAAACTAGTTTTGAAAATTGTAAAAAATATGTTATTGAAAACGAAATTCTTAGAAAAAAATTTTTTTTTGGGATGATTTTCGAGAAATGAATTTAATTCATAATATTAAAATATGGTTATATTTTTTTTATTATTAAGAAATTTCTGAATCACCATATTTAGGAATAGAAGTTTCAAAAACGCAACAAAAATCCTTCTGTCACTCCAACAAAATCAGCGTACAACTAGACAAATTCTACATTTTACTAAATTACCTCAATTATCAGATGCAACACGCTCCAAGCTCACAAAGTGACACATTAAAAATAAAGATTTTTGGCAACGTAAAATGGCAGTGTTGCCAATGGGTTGTAGTTGAAAAGCGAAAAGTAGTTACAACTAACTAAAATTCCAAACAAAAAAGGAAACAGGCATAAAACGAATAAAAATTAAAACTATTTCGGAGAAGAAAATAAATAAAAAATGAAATGTAAAATGTAACAAAATAACATAACTGTACAACTTGCAAATGAGCACAGAACTGCATTTGTGCATTAAAAATATTAACCGCATTGTAGAGAGAGGAGTGGCAAAGAAACAGCAAAAAGATGAAGAAAAGTACTAAATAAATGCAACTCTACCGCTTGCCAAAAAATAATGAGGCATGCAACACTATAAATAGCCGCAAAACTGTTACACAAAATGCGGGGAAAAGAAGAAAACAAAAAAAGGTTGCCATGGGGGTAATGAGTTAAGTATCTGACAGTGCACATAATTACAAATACATGCTAATGCAATGTATGTATGTCCATATGCAGATTTGAGGGAACTAGCATACACAAACGATGCCACCAGTTTTTTGAAAATTTTCATAAAATTTTGGTTTCAAAAAAACAAAAAAAAAAAATAACAACAAGCATCAGCAACAATACAGAATGTATGTAAGCATCCGAAAACGAAAATATAAAACCCCAAAAAAGTTGAAGGCAACAAAAATTTTGTTAATTGTAAACATCAACGTGTCCCACTAATAATTTTGAACGTCATGAAAATTTCGCTTGTGCAAATGAGCCAACAAAATTCATTACTACCGCTACTAGGCAACCATTGGAAGAGTGTTACCGTTATTTGTGTAGTCTAGGCTAAGAACATTTTTCTCATCAAGGGATGGTTTTCGAAAACAAAATATAAATACAAATAAGTATTTATTTGCAAAATTAAACAAAATATGTATAAATATATTAATAATAGATAAATAAAATATTATAAATAAAAAATATGGATATACAAAAAAAACACACAAATGCAAAAAAAGAAAATTAAAAATAAATAAAGATACAAGATAATAAAAAATTTGAAAAGTTAGAAAAAAAAAACAAAACACACACAAAAAAATAAAACATAAATAATAACAAATAAAAAAATGAAAATGAATAATTTACAACAACAAAACAAAATAATGAAGGATTAAATTTAAATACAAAATTTATATATAAAAAACATAACAAAATAAAAACAAAATAACAAAAAAGTAAATAAATAAAATGTTGAAAGCTAAATATAACAAAATATAATAACAACAAACAAAAAAATATACAGAAAAACTAAAAGGTAAAGAAACAACAATCAATAAAAAACTAAAAGTTTGCAAAAAAAAAATAAAAAAATAAAAAATAACAACAAAATAGAAAATAAGTCAAATAATAAAATCCGAAATAAACGTACGTGCCAATAAAAAAATTTAAATAATTTATGAAATAAGTCAAATAATAAAGCGAAAAAAAAAATTACCAATTAAAAATTTAATAAAAAAAATTTACATACACGTATATTAAAATTTTTATAAAAACGAATACAAAAATTATTAATAAATAAAGGATCAACAAAATAAAAAATTAAAATAAATTATAAAAATTCAATTACAACAAAACAAAATAAAATATTATAAGAAATTAGAAAATAGGTAAAATATTAAAGAACAAAAAATATACAAAAATTAAAAAAAATATTTAATAACAACGTAACACAACGTATAAAACAATTGTAAATAAATTTATCAGCAGCAAAAAACAATAATAATAGATTAAAAATAAGTTAAATATTTAAATAAAAAATATATAAAAAATAGTAACAAAAAACAAAATAAATAATAAACTAAATAAAAATTTAAATTAGATAATAAAGTAAATAAATAAATAAAAATAAAAAATATGTAAAATAAAAAAGATATGAAATAGTATATGTAATAATAAAAATATAAGGAAATATAATGATTAATAATAACAATAACTTTGCCTCCAAAAACAGTCGAAATGATTTTCCACGATGTAGTACACCAGTATAGCAACCTTGTCATGCATAAATGTTTTTGTGGCTGTTGCTCTGAACCAATATAGATTGAAGAACAGCACTCATGCAAGCTAACCGTGAAAAAAACATCAAACAATAACATAGCTTACTAGGAGCAATAACAAAAATTAACGTAAAAAAATAAAGGAAGCGAAATAAAGCCCAAAAAAATATAAAAATGTGAAAATCTATTAATTTCATTTAGTGGTGCTGGCGTTTTAATAACCTATAGCAACAAAAGTACCAACAAAATATGAAAAAAAAGCAAGTACACTTGTTAAAATCAGCTGCAATAAGTGAAGTGGCGTCTGTGTTGCATACTTTGTGGCGTTTATGAATTTTATTAATTTTCGCGGTTTTCAACCGCAGAGAAACACAACAACTAAAGGGGAGAGTAAAAGGCGAAACGAGCGTGCAGAAACGTCTGCTACCTACTAAGACCGAGCCAAAATGCGTGATTTAACTTAGTAAAATGAGTGTTTTCGAAGACTTAGGTGAAGAAGAAGAAAAAGGAGTTCAACATATAGCCATCCTCTCCCAAGCAAGTGTTGATTAAATTGTTACGGAAATTGCATTGATGTTCGCAACTTGCATGCAGCAGCAGTCGGCGCAAGTGACATCACATTACATTCTCAATTCTGACTCTGACGGCACATGCGTGTGGCAAGTTTACTTAGTGGTTTTATAAAATTTGTGAACATTTTTCTACTACATAATTTATCGCTTATAATCATGTGGGTGAATTAATTAAATGTCGCTGTTACTGGCGGTTTCATGGAGCAATTAAGAGTTGTAAACGATAAAATATACATAAAGTAACAGCATAAGTATACAATAAAAAATAAATATATTAAAATAAATTTAATAAAGGAAAGCAAAATTATATAAAATAAAATGAAAGAAACAAAAAATTAAATCAAATAAAACTAAAATTAACAATACATAAAAATAAATTAAAATGTGAAAGAGATAACATAAAAAAATAAATAAAATATTAATTAATAATAATAATAATTAGAAAATTAAATTTACTAAAAAATACATTAAAATAAAATAACATAATATAAATAGTGTAAAATTTGTTGAAATAAAATAAATTAATTAAAGCAATTATAATTTAATTTATCAAATTAAAAAAAATACTAATTAAATTTATACAAATTAAATTAAAAAAAAGACAAAATAACATAAAATAAAATATTTAAATTATTATTTATTAATAATATTAAAATAAGCTAAAATAAAATTTAGGATATTTAAATTAGATAAAATCGTATAAATGCAAAAATTATATTATATTAAATTAGACAAAAAAAAATTGTATTAAATATTTAAATATTAAATTAAGTTAAACCAAAAAAAAAAAAATAATAATAATAGAAAAGTAATTCAAATAAAATAAAACTAATTATTAATATATTGTATAAACATTTAGGAAAAGCGAGATATTTACCCTGTCACTTTGAAGTTTTAAAAGTGGGTTCAAGATTTGAATATGCGATTTGATCGTGGGACGACTCTAGACGCCATCCATGCACACAGCGGTTATCCCTTATTGCCTCAATTAGCTTCCTAAAAAATATAATAAAAATAAATTAAGTAAAATATAGAAGAAAATGTAAGAACTAAATATTTAATGTAATATAATATCTCTTTATCAAACAAAGATGTCTCTCTAGTTGCATGTGTATGTGAGTGCAGCAAGGGGCAGAGCCCACTAGTAATAAACATGATATACTTTAAAATAATATAAAATAATATGCGAAATATAATATTATTTTAGTTCACTTCATAACTCACAAACATACATACTTATAAATTTAGAATAATTTTTCCTCTATTTATTTTAATCACATTTTGCAAAAATTCGTTTCTAAATCCATCTTTAAGCCGAATACAATCTTGCTTTTACTGAACGTCAGCTGAAAAGTTTTCCATTTATTGTTTAATCCACCAACTTGAGACACAATCAAAGAGATTTATCGAAGTATCAAACTAAATTCCAACAAAGATGTGTTAGACTTGTCTGTATTTTATTATTTCTTTTTTTAGCATATACATACTATGCTTCCATGCTATAATATCTTACTCACTTCAAAGCAGTATTTTCTTATGAAATCATAAAAACAGTTGCGTGAGACAAATTATTTTCTTATTTTAGTATTTTTCGAAATAAAAATATTAAACTTGTCACTATAAGGAAAACTGCTTGACTAACAAAAAAAAAACGATATAAGAAAAAGGAGAAATAAAAGAAAAAAAGAGTTATAAAAAAAATTAATTTAAACAGAAAAAAAAACTTAAAATGACTATCATATTTGTAACACCCATACACACGTAATAAGAAAAGATGACGTAGGTAGGCAGAATATCACTCTTTCAAAATTTTGAGGGAGATTTGGGGGGCGATTTCGTTTAATAATAGTGAAAGGTTTAAGATATAAAAATTCAAGATCACTGTTTCATTCGCTCTGTCACAGCAGGATAAGTTTTAGTAGCAGTTTCTATTTCACTCAGAGCTAATCTATTTTACATTAAATTGAAGACTTTATTTACCATAGCCACAATTATACGAATTATGTCAAATATGTACTATTTTGCTCCATAAGTTCTTGCAAAATTTAAATGTAATGTTATTATAGCTCTCTCATGGAAACCCTTGCTTCTCTACAGGTCAATTCTTTACCAGCCAAATCGTTTGCCATAGGCAAGAACATTATCATCTGTACTTGATGCAAGGCCTGGATGCGCACTAGTAGAAACTACTATTGGCCGGATTTTCAACAGTGAAATTCCTTTGAGACGCTATAAAATCGAACCATTGCTGAAGTATAAAATTAAAATAAACTAGATCCAAGGCCTGTGAATCTCAAGAAAGGACTTCAAAGACTGACTGAATTGATTGTAGACTAGGTGTCAGCATCACGTATGGTAGAATTGGAAGGGAATTATTCATTATGAGCTGCTAAAATCTTGCAATGCGATAAATTTTTAGCTCTGCTATCATTAATTAGCCAGCTGAAAAGAATCTCTGCAAAGAAAAGGTGTTGTTTCTTCATTATTACGCTCGAACACATACATACATACTTTATGACCAGGAAAAAAATTATATGAGCCTTGTTCGGGGAAGCTTGATGCAACCAACATTTGACCTTTAACCATTTGGCTACCGATTTCGGTTTTGGCCTCTGCAAATCTCTATTCATAGTGAAAAATTGGCCGCCCGAAGAGGCTTTGAAAATTATTTTCACCGATAAATCATACACAATTTTACACTGATGTAAACAGCATAATAATAATGGTCAATCAAATACATATTGATAACAATAATATTCACTAAAAAATTTTTTTCAAATATGTGAAAAAAATAGCGAAGACTTTCTACTTCATTAAAAAAGATAGTTTGTTATCCCATCATTTCTAGGTATAGAAAAACACGAATTTTGAAAAATACATTTAGAAATAAAATCGTTTCGAAAAATTCGCAAGTCCATAGAGATAGTTCGTGTTAATAAATTAGTTCAATTCTTACTAGTCTGCAACTAGTTTTAACGCAATTTAAAAATACACAATTATAAAATATTACAAAGCTTATGTATATGAGACAACCATCATGCCTGATTTTATTGTTTCCGTATTGACTTAATCCTCCTACTTGAGACAATATATACCGAAGTAAAATTTCTTTGGTTTTTTAAAGAATTTGAGTTCTTAAGCAAGCACAACCGTACAAATGTACAGTTCTACGTGCAGTAACTGCTACCAATGACAAAAATAAAATTGCAAATTGCTTATGATCAGCTCTTTTTTTTGGCATTTTTTCAACTCGGAAAGAGTGCAAAGTCTTTTTAAATTGAACACTTGGCTTATAAATTCACTTAGAAGAGGATTCTGCGAAATTGTAATACACATATAATTACATTTGCAAGTGGATGACTTTTTTCGGTTTACTTACACAAACAAAAAATTTAAATAAAAAATAAATGAAGCGAACCTGGCCATTACACGCCATTACAACCGTAAAAAATTTACTGTCCGGTGCGCGCTTTGCACTTTACTTTACTTTACTTTGGAACCGGAAATGGCAAGACTGTCGCTGCTAATTTGGGGTGTTACGGTCGTACGACAATCGACATTTTTGGCCTGCCACATGCCATACAGCACGATCAAATACGGCACAATTACGATAGAAGTTTCCCGGCCGCGTAATCCTTTGTCGTGGCAATGCAATTTCACAACGTTGGACTAGTTTTATTTGTCTGGATAAACTTTTAATTCTTGGGTACCTGAAAATCAACAATATGGGCCAAAGAGTGATCGAAAATTAAGATAAACGGATAGAAGTTTACAAAAATTCCCAAGCCGATCATTTGATATGGTTTGGTTTGCATATAATGCCAAGGGTCAAACTTTGTTGTAAAAAAAGAATTTGATAAAACAAGTTGTTTTAAACCAACCCTAGAGTAGAAAAAGTGGTGGTAGTAGCAGTACTATTTAGTAGTAGTAAGAGTTGTTGTAGTAATGGTAGCAGTAGTAGTTGTAGTAGTAGAAGTAGTAGTACTAGTAGAAGTAGTAGTAGTACTAGTAGTAGTAATAGTAGTACTAGTAGTAGTAGTAGTACTAGTAGTAGTAATAGTAGTACTAGTAGTAGTAGTAGTACTAGTAGTAGTAGTAGTACTAGTAGTAATAATAATAGTAGTAGTAGTAGTAGTAGTAGTAGTAGACGTAATAGTAGTAGTAGTAGTAGTAGTAGTAGACGTAATAGTAGTAGTAGTAGTAGTAGTAGTAGTAATAATAGTAGTAGTAATAAAAATAGTAATAAAACAGTATTTACATATTGCAAATTCGTACATTCTTACTTTAAAAGTTGTTCCCCACTTTGGCCATAAAGCGCGAGCAACAGCCAACAACTGACTACTTTTCCTCAGTTCTTCAGCTACACAACTCTTCAACGACGACAATACTCATTGCAAGTAATAGTTGTTATGAGGCCTACTTGTAGGCATTATAAAATTTCAATTTTCTATCGTCAACTTATGTACATACATACTCGTAAATATGTGTATGATGGGTATATGTGTGCCAAACGTCAAATTTTGTTTACAACTTAATGCACAATGCAAATTGCAAAAATTTGAAAAAGAGAGAAATGCATAAAATGGCAATACAGTTAGAGATTGCTTTGAAGGCGGTACTTAGGGGGCACACACCTACATATAAATATATACGTATGTAAATAAGTATTCGACTAAACACCGACAAGGAGTTGAGGGCGGATAGTGAGTGCATTTGTGCTGTGTAATGTCAACATTTTGAGAGCAATTGCATAAATAAATGCACGACGACCCACTTTTAGGCATCCACTATGCTATTGCTCTTAACATTTACAAGTGCATCATATCTGTCTATTTTAATTTTACGAAAATGTGCGCAATTTGAATTGAAAGATTAAGTGGAGCAAATGTGATATAAATATTTTATTTCTTATTTTTAGCATTTTTTTTACATTTATTTTTGTTTGTTTCCTCTCCTTATATCCCCCTTTATCTTCCTCTCTCTCTCTCTTTCTCTATGTATATATATATATATATATATATATATATTCAGAATTTAAATTTGAATTATTAAAAGATTTAGCCAAGTTACCTACTTTTAGTTTGCTTCTAAACGTAGAAGGCCGTTTGCAATTCTAAATGGGGTTGATATTATGCTTTAGTTACTAGGGATACAGTGAGACTGAACAGTTATTTTATTATTATGAATGTTTAATTAGATAAAAATAGTAATAATTTAAGCTTTACTAAAATCATCATTAAAAGTATTAAATACTAAAATAAAAACTGTGCATACTTTCAGGATGATTGACATAAGCTGTATAACGTAGATGAGAAGTACAACAAACGCGAGGAGATTTAACAACAATTTAATAGTGGAAATAGCAGGAGATATTCATATAAACATATATATACTCAAGGTAAGCACTTTTTGACAATTAAATTGTCAATTTATTTATTTAATATAATTTTTTTTATCAAAAAGTTAACTTAATTATTAATTAAAAAAATATTTAATATTATATTAATTTGTTATTTGATTATCCGGAAAAAAATTGAAGTTTCAAATTTGATAAAAAAATGTGGATCGAAACGGCCGATCGACTTTTATAAAGAATTTTTATTTTATGTTTCTACAAAAAGAAACCCTCGAAATTGGCATATGTTCAAGATATTGATTACCTTTGTTCGAAGACAAATTGCTGTCTTCTGTTCGGCCCTTACCAATTCTTCTTCGCAAGAAATCCAGATCAGATCTCTTAACTGACAGGAAAAAGGCGCGACCTGAAGCCAATGACGTGAAAATTCCGGCTGGAAGCCTAAATTTTTTCACTCTATATACGACTTCGATTATCGCCAAAGTAGAAAGTTGCAACAAAAGCTGTGCTAGCCGTCTAGACCTAAGGAAAGGTCAACTTATAACGCAAACGACCGACCAGTCATAAACTATGCCCACTTGTTTGGCTTCCTTTACGCTTCCAGTTAAGGAACATAATAATATGCTGGTTAAATAGTATC